GCAAGAAGGCAGTGTTCATCGCCCCATGACTCAGTAGCTGGGCTTGGTTCTAACTTCAGGAGTCTGACTCTGAGTTGTTTATTTTAGGCATATTTAAACACAGCACAATCTGGTGAAAACTATTCTTGTGAAGATTAGCTCAGTTCCACGTGCACAACAAAGCATACCTAAATCTCTTTGAGGAACAAAGTAAGCTAAATACAGAGTAAGTGTGACTACATCAAAACTCTGTAAAGTACCTTTCATAAGAATAGATTCTGTGGAGCGACTGAGAGAAAGGACAGGAGGAGGGTCTGGTGCCGGAACAATCTTCAGACACAGACTGCGCAAAGGTCAGCGGGCTAGAAAGCACGTCGGCTTCAGCCTTCTGGACAGAAAGCAGGTTTGACATTCCTTCCCTTAAAGGAACAATCGGAACATATAAGCATTGCTGCAATACTACAGAAAACATCCATAATTGGTCTCCTGAAGTTGGTGAGTTTTCAGAGACTAATAAAAACTAATAACATCCATTGAGCATGTGCTGTTTGCCTGACACATTCTAGGCACCTTGAGAGGTTGTCTTATTTAATCACTGTAACAGTAGGAAGGGAATTGCTGGTACCCTCATCTTATGATTGAGAAATTTAAGGCATACAGAGACATATAATTAATTTATAGACTTGAGCTAGCTAGTACCTGTTCAGATTACTAAACATAACCCTTCTTTGGTCTGATCAGCCTACCCAGAAAGCATTTTTATGAGAGATAAAAAATTTGGATTAGAAGTCGCTGTGGTAGTGCACAACTTTAACCTCAGAACTCAGGGGTCACAGAAGGTGGATCTCTATGAGTTCAAGGCCATCTTTCTCTGCCTAGAGAGTTCCAGCCCAGCCAATTTTTCATTTTCATTAGTGAGACCCTAGAGGAGAGAAAAAGGAGAGAGAGAGACAGAGACAGAGACAGAGAGACAGAGAGAGAGGTATTCATTCCTATCGGAACCTAGCACTGTGATTTTGGTTTGTGGAATAGTTTTACCAAGTTCTAAAATAATCTACAGAGTGTCAGGTAAGATCCTATAGTAAAAAAATTACATCTAATAGGACTAAAATCTAATAAGATTTTGGGGAAAGAACATAAAGATGTCAATTTTCTAAATAATCAAAAGTAAATTATGTGAACATATTACTAAGGTCTAGTGGTAGTGAAGAATATTCTTCATTATCTCTAGCTCCTGGTATTCAAGACCTTGTACAGTTCCTCTTGCCTATTGAGTTGGTGTTGTCTTTTACCAATGGAATGTGGTAGAGCTGACAGTGAGTCACTTCTGTGGCTAGGACATAGAAATATCATTAACTCTCTCTCTCTCTCTCTCTCTCTCTCTCTCTCTCTCTCTCTGGACATTCACTTTGCAGAAACCCAGCTCCCATGTTATAGGAACACTCAAAAGAAGTATGAAGAAAGAAATGATCCCTCTAGCCTATGATCATGTGAACTATTTTAAAAGTGGATGTTCGAGCCCTGGTCAGGCCTTCAGATGACTGTAGCTCTGAGTGGTAGCTTTGTAAACTCCCGAGATAGCCCGGTACAGACCACCTGATTCTCAGAAATGACGTAAGAAAAAGAAGCTTATTGTTTAAAACTGCTATGTTTAGAGCAACTTGTTATGAAGAAATTGGTGATCGTGGCCTGCGGATGTAGCTCAGTTGGTAGGGTGCTTGCCAAACAAGCGCAAAACCCTGGGTCCAATTTCTACCATTTTATAATCTGGGCCTGGTGGTGCAAGCCCATAATCCCAGCACTTGAGAGGTGGAGACACAAGATCAGAAGTTTAAGGTCATCCTTGACTACTTAGCAAGTTTAAGATCAATCTGGTATAAATGAGATCAATCCCTTTCTCTTTCTCTCTGAAAAACAAAAAGAAAGTGAAAAAGAAACCATGGGGCCCGTGACACTGAGTTCAATCCCTAGGACTCTCTACAGAAGGAGACCCTGAGCCCTGAAAGTTTTCCTCTGACCTTCCCACACGTGCTGGGGCACATGAGTATGGACATTCAGATGAATGCATATCACATACACATTCACAAATAATAATAATAATAATAATAAATATGTTAGATTTAAAAAAGAAGTTGGTAATGAGTGCAGACTCCGTGTAGAGCCTTGTGAGACCTACACTAGAGAGAGCCCTAACTCAGCACCAAGCTTCAGTCACTACATCATTATGGTAACTGACCTCCGCCTAGGTTAATAGCTGAGACTACTAGGTAGTCATAGCAGAAATGACTAATTTTTTTTTAATCAAAATTTGTCATCAAACTTTGTGTCTCTATCAGAAGGTTATGTCTATGTGTCCACTTTCTGTTACCGAAAGAAATGCCTGAGATTATCTGCTTAGGAAAGGTTTGTTTGGGTTCATGGTTTCAGAGGTTTGAATCCATGATTGATTGGCCCTGTTGCCCATGGTCTGTGATAAAATATCAAGTCTGAAGCCTTTGGAGGAGCGAGATTAGTTCCCTAATGGCACGGATGGAACAGACAGAGAAGAGAAAGCTGGGTATTAAGATTCCAGATGAGGCCTCGGATTCAATCCCTAATACTCCAGGCAAAGAAGAGAGAGACCCAGAATCGCCTCTGAGCGCATCCTCCCATGATCCCGCCTCAGACAATTCTACGACCTCCGAGGAGTACCAAGCTGTAAACTGAGTCTTTAGTGAGTGAGTCCTTGACGAACCCACACGGGAACTGCCGCACCGGCCGAGCCTCCGCCACACTGCCGACTTTTCCTTGCCGCTGTTTCTCAGAAGCAGAACTGTGGCTCATCTGGACCACCAGGGCTGTGCTTTCTCAAGATGCGCCATTGTGTGCTGCTCCGCGTGTCTTACAGGCCAGGCCTGGGGCGTGTCAAATGACCTTGGCAGCCACGTGTTGAAGACAGCCTGGACATCTACCACAGAGTGAGTCCCTGACGGCTTTATGGAACACTCCCTCCACACACTGCGTCTGACAGATCATTCCATTAGACAGAAATTACTTCCATTTGTGTTCACATGGCAATCTCTTTTAAGAGCTATGAATTAAAATAAGGCAAGCTTGACCCTAAACAATTACAGTTTCGGTCTTCAAACTCGAGATAGCCTCCTTTTCGTCCAGAGTCTGGCTTTGATTTTAACAGTATTTATTTCTCCACGTCTATTTTTCTAAGTTCATTGTTAGGGCGGGAGTCACACATGACGGATGTGCAGAGGTCAGAGTTCAACTTTCGTGGAGTCGGCTTTCTCCTTCAGCCTTGACGTAAGCTCTAGGGATCACACTGCAGCTGCCAGACTGCGTGGCAAATGCCATCACCTGCTGACTTACCTTGCCGTCGCCAGTCTCATCATTTGGTTTGCCACTTTATTAACATTTTAGTCTCCAAACTGCAAACATACATGGACAAGCTTAAATAATGCCTCATGTGCTCGTAACTCAGCCTCAATATTTGGGCTGAGGCCATTCCCTTGCCCTGTATAGTTTTTTTGCCTTTTCCCCCTACACATCTACCTGTTCTTTTAAAGCAAATGCCACAATCCCAAACATCATATCGTTTTGTTGAAAGAGTTTTAACTGTCCCGTAAGAAACTCCTTTTACCTTCCGTGGAATCCAGTGTTTTGGGGAGGCTGAAGGACCCAGTTCCCGTTGCACCCCAACATAGACGAAGACAGCTGTAAGGGAAGGCTTCCTGCTCCTTTGTGGGGCACAACCCCCTCCCTTGAGGATCCAAACCTTCCTTCGCTCCCGTAAAGCTTGGAACATTGCTCCTATACAATGATGCTGGGTGCCAGGCAAGCTGAGATTCCCAACGGCCAGTATGAAAACAATGAGAAGCCATAGATACGGGCATGAGCTGGCACTATGATCTTGGCTTAGCTACTTGTATGCCCTTTGACCATTAATTTAATCACTCAAATCTTTATATCTTCTTCTTTACAAAAGAGATAGTACCTATTCTGTGTGCTTCATTGAGTCAATAGAACAATAGAAGCAGTGAAGGTTTTTTTTTTAAAACATTAAATACTGGGCTAAGAATGTAGGTCAGCTGAGGGCTTACCTAGCATGCACAAGGCATTAGGTTTGATCCCCAACACCTCCTCAAATAAGGTGTGGTGGCTCACCCTGGAAATGGAGGCAGAAATATCAGGAATTCAAGGTCATTCTCATCTATATAGAGAGTTTATGACCAACCGGGGGTACATCTCAACTAAACATTATCTAATTACCAGTTTTTAACATGGAAGGGATTGCAAGATGTGCTTTTAATTCTTATTTAATGCTTGCCTCTAGAGTATTATTCGAGATCACTTAAACTTCAGGATTATTAAAAATCAGTACTAACAACAGGAACAATTTTTTTCCAGGTCGTTTTCGAATGTGAATCACCATCCGTGACGGGAAATTGGCTTTGCAGTGTGTATATTTCTAAACATATTTCATTTGAGAAGATCAGACAGCACTATAGTTCTGGAAGTAAAGGGGAAGTAGATTCTTAACTAAATTTTGCCCTGAGTAACTTAGCTTCTCTCCCCTCCCGACTGGCCAGATTTGATCTAGAGAGCTGGGTAACCTGTGGTAGTGAGAGGAAGCCAGCCCTGCGTTTTCAGACTTCAGTGGCTCCCCTCAAACAGAATGCGTCTTTCTGGATTCCTGAGCTGAAGACCAACTGAACTGGACCGTCAGGAACGTGCCAGTCGCCAGGGAGAGGCAGAGCAGTCTGCCACACTTCCGGCAGGCTCTCTGAGCTTGCTGTGCCTGCTCAGCAGCCATGAACTTGCACCCTGCCGATCTTCGCCCCACCCCAGCCCCTAAGCTCACCTCTTAACTCTGTGTTCTCCATCTTCTCTGCTCATGTACAACATTTCAGCACCATCATCATAGAAGTTTAGTTTTCCTTTTAAGGAAATGTACAATAAATAACATGGAAAACAAGCTGTTTATTTTATGTACACACACACACACACACACACACACACACACACACACACACACAAGTCAGAGAGACACGGAGAGTGATGACAGATGTACGTGTACACAGAGGCCAGCAGAGGATCAGGTATTCTGCCTTACTGTTCAGCTGCTCCGTCTTACTGTCTTGCGGCCCTGGAGATAGCCTGATAGCCAACACGCCCTAACAATTGTCCTGTCTCCACCCCATCGCTCTGGGGTTACAGGGAAATACTCTACCGTGTCCAGTTCCTTTTACCTGGGTTCTGGGATTTGAAGCCCGATCCCTATGTTTGTACAGCAAGCAGGCTTACCTCTGAGCTATGTCCTTAACCGTAGATACAGACTGTATTTCGTTTTGTTTTCTGAGACAGGGTCTCACTATTGTAGCCCAGGCTGTCCTTGAATTTCTACCTTCCCACTCGTCTAATAACTGTAAAGTATCTCCTTGTGGTTTATGATAAGCACTGACTTACCGCATTTTAAATTCTTATAGGTGCTAACTTAACATTGTAAAATTTTAGGATTTATTTTTGTTATTTTTAAATTATGTGTGTCTCTTCTTTGTGGAGGTATGCACATGTCTTGTCAGAGATGCTGGCTGTCCTTGGAGCTGGAGTTACAGGTTGTGAAGCCACTTGACATGGGTGCTGGGAGCCAAACTCAGGTGCTCTGCAAGAGAAGTGTGTATTCTTAACCGCTCAGCCATCTCCAAACCCCAACACTGTAAATTTATTAACTCAGATTATTCTGGGTTAATCTATATATTCACTAACTATTGTAAGTCTAAGAACCACTCAACTGTTGCAATGGCCTCTAGGCGACAGGTCACAACCGTGAAGTAACTTGGTCTTCCCTGATGAAGAAGCAAGATGATGAAGGACGGATGTCCCTGATCTAATTTATGAATAAGCTTAAGGAGAAAAATTTTCAGTGAATTCTGTATGGACTCTGGTGCTCTACTTAACCTGATAATTAAGTGTCCAGTTAATGTGGACTTTCAAAGTAATATTTGAAAGGAAGGTAACCGTAGGCAAATAGATTTCCAGGACAAATGGAGGTTAGGTGTCTAACTTTTAGGGGTCACTTGTACTGGGAGTGAAGAGTTCCGTAGTACTGCATGTATTGACTCAAAAAAAAATGAACATTTTTTTTCTGTAAATGGGGAGGAAGTGTCTTAGACTATGAAAGCAAATACCACGGCTCTAAGTTCCACTATATGAAGAAAAAAATGGAGTGAGTCAATTAAAATTTTCCATTCCATCTAATTTGAAAACTTACCTTGTCTTCAAAGAGAGAAAACAGAGTCCAGGCAAAAGATTTCCAGTTTAATCCCCAGAACCAGAAACTGAAAAGCGTAAGAGAGTCCACTGTGACCATCACCGGCAAGCTGCATGTTCTGTGACTTTCACACCTGTGAGAACGAGTTGCAGAGTTAGTTCTGAGTTCAACCCCTTGTACCACAGCCTCCGTAGGCATCAGGTTTGCATGTAGCGCACAGACACACATTCAGGCAAAATGTTCATAGACATAAAATAATAAACTGATTTTTAACTTAAAATCTTAATGCATTTTGTTTAGTATGTGCATACATGTGTGCTTGTATGCACATGTATGTGAGTATATGAATGGAACTCAGAAAGAAACTTACTAGAATCACTTCCATTCTTCCATATATGCCCCAGGGATAGAACTCAATGTAGCACAATTAGCGAAAACCTAGAGACAGAAAATTGGAGTCAACCTGAAGGTCAGAAAAGCAAAACAGCAAAACCGGCTCTTATCTCTACCTCAGTCTGAAATGGCCATCCTGCCTCCAGGAATGTCCGAGACTGTGTCTGAGAGCTGTCTCCTCCCGTCTTTTCTTCCTCTCTAGGGCTGGGATTAGAAGTGTGTCCCACTGGGGTTAAAGGCATGTACCATCCAATTTCTATGGCAAATAGCATGGCTACTGGGATTAAATGTATATGTTACCACTGCCTGGTCTTATCAGTGGGGTTGTTTTACTTCAGGCAAGCTTTATTGATTAAACTACAAATGAAATATCACTACAACTCAAGTCCTCAGACTTGGTGAAAAGTGACTTCACCCACTGAGACATTTTGCCAGCCCCAAATTTCATTCTTCCTCAAGGCCAAACACAGTTCCATTATGTATATATAACACATTCTCTTTTTTAAGATTTTTTTTATTTAATTTTCGATTTTTTTCTATACAATGAAAAAGGAAAGCTGTACAGAGAGAAAGGGTCCATCCAGAGAGGTGCTTGAAGTCCTGAGGGCAACTCTCATAAAGACCTAGAAATACCCAGACAAGGGGCTACAGTGAGGGTTCAGAGGTTAACAGTACTTGTTGCTCTTGCAGAGGGCCTGGGCTGGTTTCCAGAACCCACATAGTGGCTCACAACCCCCTCTAACTCTAGTTCCAGGGATCCAATACCTTCTTCTCACCTCCATGGGCACTAGGGACAGGCCCTGCCCCCACTGCTAGGAGTCCCACAAATAGACCCAGCTACACAATTGTCACACATGTTTAAAGGCCTAGGTCGATCCCACGCAGGTTCCGTAGCTGTTGGTCCAGAGTCTGTGAGCTCCTGTGAGCCCAGGTTAGTTGTTTCTGTGGTGAACCAGACATCTCATGTAACCAGATTGATGTCTAGCATAGTGATTATCAGAGAGGCTTCATCTAGCAACTGATGGGAGCAGATGTAGCCACAGACAAACATTCGGCAGAGCTCTGGGCATCCTGCAGAAGAAAGAGAACAAGGAGGGATTGTAGGAGCCAGAGGGGTCAAGACACCACAAGAAAACAGCCCACAGAATCAACTAATCATGGTCCATAGGGGCTTACAGAGACTGAACCAATAACCAGGGAGCCTGCAGGGGACTGATCTATGTCCTCTGAATATATGTTATGGTTGGGGTTCCTGTGGTACTACCATTAGTTGGAGCGGGGCTGTCTCTGATTCTTTTGCCTACTGTTGGGACCGTTTTCCTCCTACTGGGTTACCTCATCCAGCCTTAATATGAGGGGATTGCCTAGTTTTATTATAACTTGATATGCTATGTTTGGTTGATATCCCTGAGGGGGCTGCCCTTTTCTGAAGAGAGAGGAGGAGTGGAACTGGGGAAGAAGGAGTGTGTGTGTGTGAGTGTGTCTGTGTGTGAGTGTGTGTGTAGGGGGAGGGGGGACTGGGAGGAGTGGAGGAAGGGGGAAAACAAGAAATAGCAACAACAAAACCGTGATCCAGCCCATGTCAAGAGCCAACTGCCTTGTTCTTATAAAGCCCCAAGCTAAAGACCCCCAAGTGCCAGAACCGTTGTTTGCAATGAACTGATCTGGGTACCCTCACAGCTGCAGGTAATTACCAGAGGAGACCAGGTGTCTCTGGCTGGAGGCTCCCCATTGCTCTGACTAGAATATTGCATGTTAGTGACAGTGACCCCCCCCCCGCACCATCCCCCTGGCAAGAAGAGATGTCCATTATAGGGGGTGTCCCCACAGGGACGAGGATGTCACAATGAGTACCTTCTCTTTCACAAAGAAAGGAGTATGCCATTTGTGAGAGCGGGTTCCCCATAGTGAGCTTTTTAAGGTTTCTGTGCTCTACGGCAGTGCTTCTTTGGCATTGCCCAAGGGCTGGCCAGACAGCTCAGTAGATAAAGGCACCTGCCAAGAGCCTGAGGAATTTGAGTTGGAAGCCTGGCACCCACAAGAACTGACTTCTGCAAGGTGTCCTTGGGCCTCCTCATGCACATGGTGGCACATGTGCAACCCCTCCCCCACTAAATAAATAGCATTTAAATGTTTTAAAATATCGCAGTGTGGTTGAATTACCCAGAATGCTATTAAAATAGGTTTACGGGCCCCACTGTAGATGTCCTGATTCAGCAAGTTGGGAGAGGGGCCCAAGAATATACATAGTAAGCTTCGTTATGTGGAGCACCTGTGTGCTCCCGTTAATCCTCGTGGTACCAGACTCGTATGGGGAATTGCTAAGTGATACGGAGATAGGATGCTTCTTGCAACCAGCGCAGCTTTTCTCCCTGGACCAGAGTCTGTCTGGACCACGTTGCTTCCCCTTCCCCAGTGAAAGGACAGCAACACCCACCCCCGAAGCAAAAGCTGCAGTGGGAGGTCCCCTCTATAAAAATGTATTCTTTATTTGTGTGTGTGTGTGTGTGTGTGTGTGTGTGTGTATGTGTGTATGCATATGTATGTGCAGATATTCACAGAAGCTAGAGGAGAGCCTTGGATCCTCTGGAGTTAGAGGTGCAGGGAGTCATGAGCCTGCCGTGGTGGATGCTGGGAATCTCACATTAGTGCTCTGAAAGCGTAGCGTGGGCCCTTGACCCACTGAGCATCCTCTTCAGTCCCCTTTCTCCTTGTTAATCTCTTCCTTCTCTTTCTTTTACTTCCTAACATTAATATGCAGAAAGCAACTGTGAATAATGCGTGGAAGAACATAACTGGGCAATTGTCTTTCAGGAGTTCAAAGAAAGGCAATCAGGAAAGGCTCAGGTGGAACTCAAATGGGAGCCTGACCTTGGTGAAGGGTGGTATTTGGTTAGCCAGACAACAGGGAGTCCATGTTTCAGACTAAGGCAGCAGCGTGGGCATGGCCTCAGATGCAGGCCAGCGGGGAGACAGGCCTGCAGGATAAGATAGGGAGGTCAGAAAAGGAAGCCGCAAATATACAGCTCATTCGGTAAGACATGGGAGGGTGCTGGTGGTTTGATAAAGCTCTGCTTCAGGCAAGTGAATCAGCCAGTGAATGTATGAGCTGGCTAGCCACAGAGGCCACCTAGCAGACACCTCTGAGAATTCAAACCTGGACAATTCGTCTCTGGTTCCTCCTTCAGCCTGAAATGTGTCTAATTCACAGCCTAAGACACCCTTAGATGTTCCTACCTCAGCATGTCTGTCTAAGTTTGGTCCCATAGCATTCTGTCCTTCCTTCCTTCCTTCCTTCCTTCCTTCCTTCCTTCCTTCCTTCCTTCCTTCCTTTACTCTCTCTCTCTCTCTCTCTCTCTCTCTCTCTCCTTCTCTCCCTCCCTCTCTTCATCCCTCCATCCCTCCCTCTCCCTCTCCCTCTTTCTTTTCTTTTTTTTTGGGAGGGTTCCTAGAAAGGGTTTCTCTTTGTAACAACTCTGGTTGTCCTGGAGCTCACTCTGTAGATCAGTCTGACCTTGAACTCACAGAGAGATCCACCTGCCTCTACCTCCTGAGTGCTGGAATTAATTTAAAGGTGCATATGACGACACCTCAGCTCTTGTTTTTTTTTTTTTTTAAACAATATTGTTTCAATCTTTTCCCAGCATATTTTTACTGATTATTTGGGAATTTTACACAATGCACTCTGATCACACATGATGCCCATTCCTCCCAGGTCCATCCTCCCACCCTTGTACTCTTCCCCCAAAATGAAAAACAAATACATCAAGTCCAGTTTGTGTTGCTCATCAACTCATTGGGGCATGGTCAGGTTCCCAGTAGGCAACCCTTTAAAGATAACCGAGTCATGAGTGTGTGTGGTGTGTGTGTGTCCATGTGTGTGTCCATGTGTGTGTCCCACCAGATGTCAACTGTGAAGAGCTACAGTTCAGCATCTTTACCACATTTTTTTTAAAAAAAAGTTTTTGTTTGTTTCAGATTTAACTTTTAATTGATTCTTTGTGGATTTCACATCAGGTGTCTCAATCCCACTCACTGCCCTGTCCCTTCCCATCTATAAGTCAGTCGTAACCTCCCACCCCCACTCCAGGGTAAAACAAGATAAAATTGAAAAGAAACGAGAAAGAGAAAACTCTTGTTGTGAAGCTGCAGTGTAACACAGTGAGTCACACAGCTTTTCAGTCCGTTTATTATTAGTTGCAAGTATTCATTGCACTGAGTCATTGGTCTGGTTTGAGGTCTGCTTTTTGCTACATCATCAATCCCTGGGACTCCTCTCAGATATCCTGCTGTTGACTGGTGCCTTTGGGTCTGCAGGACCCGCCCCTTCCTGTGCTCCAGCAGATCACAGGTGGGGTGGATGACGGGGTGGACCAACTTATAGCCCTGCTTCTGAGTCTGTGGCTGGGTTGGTCAGCCTGCCAGTTCTCCCTCACCCTCAACATCAGGGTGAGCTCTCCTGCACCACCCTGGCTAGCTCACTCTATGTAGTAAGCAACAAGGGGCGGAGCCTGTTCTCCTGCTCTCGTGTCCTGGATTGTCTGGCACACGCCTCCACCACCAGGTCCAGCTCTACTGTGTTGCCCAGGCGAGGTGCAGGGCTACTCGCTGGTGAGAGGTCTTTATCACAATTTCGAAGAACTCTCTTCAGTGATTTCCTGTCTGAACTGTTTGTTCCCTTTGTGGGGAGCAGCGGTAGTTGTCAGAGAAATCTTCAATGTCTCTCATTCTCAACCCTGAGTCTACCGTCATTGATACCACTACAGAAGCTTCCCTGCCCAGAACATCCAGAGGCAGCCCAGATCACGGATTTCCACGTGGTTTCTAGTGTTTCTTTTTTTTTCTTTTTTTCTTTTTTCTTTTTGGTTTTTCGAGACAGGGTTTCTCTGTGGCTTTGGAGCCTGTCCTGGAACTAGCTCTTGTAGACCAGGCTGGTCTCGAACTCAGAGAGATCCACCTGCCTCTGCCTCCCGAGTGCTGGGATTAAAGGCATGCGCCACCACAGCCCGGCTCTAGTGTTTCTTATGCGTTCAAAAGTCACTTTCAT